TAATTACTGGAGTTATTACCCTTGGTTTCATTAATGCGATGCATGCGTTCCATGATGTTGTATTGCACTCATTGATCTACCAGTTATGTTGAATGATTTCTCTTTTAATATCAATTACTCACAAATACTTCATATATTTCAATCATACAAACAACTGCTCATTCAATGTGTGACGGGCGTATTATATACCGCTCGCGGTAACCTTGTTGACCGTAGTTACTTATCTATACCGGAGCCACTGCCCTTTTGGACCCTAGTTACTTATCTATACCGGAGCCATGGCCTTTTTGGACCATAGTTACTTATTTGTTAAAATATTTTTTTAAGATTTTGTTTTGTTGTTGTATGAAGAAATGAGTATGTACATGTACTACTACCATTTTGATTTTATAACCCTTATAGAAATTATGGACCTTTTTCGAAATGAAAGTTCAAATTATGGGCCTGAAATGCTGTGTTTAGTTAATATGTAATTAAAAATTTGTTATTTCAGGTTCAGTTGGGGAAAGAGTTGGCATCAAATTGAAGAGAAAAGAAAACCTTTTGCAGTTTCAGGCCATGAGAAGAAATGTTGTAGGTGACACCAAAATTAATATTCGTGACATTGTCATGGAAGAAGAAGAGGCTGTGGCTGAGCCTGCACCATTGGGGACAGAAGATGCAGAAAAACTCACCAAAGAAGTTTGTACATCCATTTGTTTTGATTTAAAACATATAAACACTAAGGGAATATTTTTAGACATTGCTCCACTCCCAATTTTAATTGTGGCATTACATGTGATGCAGCATAGGTTCATTTTATGATTTCATGTAACAATTCAAAAGATAAAGGTCCAAAGTGTGGTAATGGGGTCAGCAGATCAGTTATGGTGTCTCCATTGTCCTCGAAACAGAGGACAGGGAGAAAACCCTGATTCTGCAGAAAGGGGGCTACATTGTTTCTCAGACCACTATACTGATACAGAGAGGGGGCTACATTGTTTCTCAGACCACTATAATGATACAGAGAGGGGCCTACATTGTTTCTCAGACCAATATACTGATACAGAGAGGGGGCTACATTGTTTCTCAGACCAATATACTGATACAGAGAGGGGGCTACATTGTTTCTCAGACCAATATACTGATACAGAGAGGGGGCTACATTGTTTCTCAGACCAATATACTGATACAGAGAGGGGGCTACATTGTTTCTCAGACCAATATACTGATACAGAGAGGGGGCTACATTGTTTCTCAGACCAATATACTGATACAGAGAGGGGGCTACATTGTTTCTCAGACCAATATACTGATACAGAGAGGGGGCTACATTGTTTCTCAGACCAATATACTGATACAGAGAGGGGGCTACATTGTTTCTCAGACCAATATACTGATACAGAGAGGGG